ATTAATAGAATTAATTTCTTGCACACTACAATTGTCTTTTGCTCAAAAATAAATAATATTTACATTTATCTTATATACAGGAAGGATAAAGCAGGCTATTTACTTTATAACACTAGTATGTCTGTCTTACTGGTCAGTCCAAAATACACGTGTTTTGAGCACAACAATAAAAAAAATACCTTACCGTGCTGGCAAGCTTCTAAGTATCACAATGAATATATTGTCACAAAAAGTTCAATGAATGAAATATATGGAGATAACGAACAGTATTCAAGCTCAAAAGTCCATAAAACAATACAAAATAGGAGCAGAGCAAACACGGACCTCTAAACATCAGAGGTGGGATCAGGTGCCATGGAGGAGTGAGCATCCCCTGCCGACCGGTCACACCCGCCGTGTGCTCCTTGTCATGATCGGGAAATAACGGAAAAATCCGTCGACAATTCAGTGTGTAAATAATGGCCTAACAATTAGTATGAAAAACGTCAGTCAGCATTTGACTCAATGATAAATTGTATTTGCTGACAAGGTCATTGTATCGACCATAGAACTTACGAAATGATGACTTTAAACGAGACAGCTGATATTCTTGTTTCATCAACTTGTTTGTCAATAATTTACCTCGTTTTAGAAATTGTTCATACGTAGAGCATGCTCTTGCGTATCGAATCAACTGAGAGATATATACCCCGTATGCCGGTGATGAAGGTATATTGCTGCATAAGTAAGGGAAGTTGACGATTGAAAAGTTAAAGTCATCAGGTTTATCATAAAGCTTGGTTGTTAGATTACCATTAACGTCTTTTTCAAGTAAAATATCCAAATATGAAACTGTGGTATCTTTTATCTCAAGCTCACAAGGATATATCGTATCGACATAAGAATGAAAATAGCCATTGTTAATTGACAATACGTCGTCGATATATCTAAATGTCGAGTTGAAGGCCACAGCAAGTGTTTTCTTCTTTTCACGTACAAGATTTTGGACAAATTCTGCTTCATATGAATACAAAAAAAGGTCTGCTAATAACGGGGCGCAATTGGTACCCATGGGAATTCCAATAGATTGTTGGAAGACCTGGTCTCCAGAAACCACATAGATATTGTCAATCAGAAACTCAAGCATCTTTTTAATGTCAACTTCAGAGTACTTGTGTGTACAATCAGAATGTTTTTTAGCAAAATAATTTTCAAATGACCAATGACAAGGTAAGTATATTTACGAGTTCCATTTTTATTGAAAAAGCAGCTGTCAATTATATCAAAAAGCCTGGACTTTAATTTATCGTGGAGAATGGTTGTGTATAAAGTAGAAAAGTCATAAGTTTTTAAGCTGTTGATTTTGGTAAAATCTTGCGATTTCAAATTTTCCAAAAGTTCCTTGGAATTTTTAAGTATCCACATCTGATTTACACCACTTGCACAGTACTCTTGAAGTTTCTCCTTCACCACTGTTAATATCTTAGTGAGGAGTAAAGAAAGAGGCTTGGTTGAACATTTACTGGAACCCGCTATGTATCTTTGTTTGTAAGGATTTTTATGAAGTTTCGGAATCCAATATAAATATGGTAATTCAAATTCATTTTGGTTGTTTGGAATATTCAAAATATTCAAAACTGATATATGATTTTGAAGAATGTCTTCCTTAGAAAGGGAACTACGAGTATAAGTTGGATTACCACTTGTAGAATTAAATCCAAGTTCCTCTAAAATACATTTAATATAATGAGCCTTACAAACAAAGACAATGGTGTTACCTGCTTTGTCAGCAGGGACCAGTACGTACTGATCATGTAATCTATCTAATTCTTTTTTCACTTCTGGATTATTGAATACAGAAGGATAGATGGTTCTCATATTGCCCCTCAATCTTTTAATGCGTGATTTTAACATACATCTGATACATTTAATCCATTCTGACAAAGTGTCAAGGTCTTCGTTTTCATGTCTGGCCCATCGCCTGGCGTAGTCCTCTACAGAATCCATAATATTTATGAAATTCCGACGCCAGTTGAAGGATCGGGGTTCACTAAATTTAGGACCTTTTAAAATTAGTGATCTAAGGTCCTCATTATTAACTATATTAACGTCACCAGTAATAACGTGCCCAGCAGGACTATAGTTATAGGGCGAAGAAGAACATGAACACGATGGAGGATTATGTTTCAGATATTCGATATCCAGGCCCTGTAAAGTTTTCTTGTAATTAAAAAGTTTGGAAGCAATAGTCGATGTATCTTTGTAGGAAATACAAGGTGTAGTCTTTAACTTGAAATATGGTGGAATACAAGACTGGACCCTTTTGTGATTAAGAATATTACTTATATTAACCGCGTCAATTCCTTTGTTGGCATATTGAAGTTTAAGGAAAAAATGGATCGTTTTAGCTGCATTTTCTTCAGTAAAACGCGGGGGTATAAAAAGCCTATGATTTGCAATATCCATAATCACAGATCCGAGCCTATATTCTGGTGTCGAGGAATCAAAAAATGGACTTTCCTTGACCTTTTCAAGAAGACTATTTAAAAGTTTCAAAGGGACAGAGTAAAGTTTGGTGAGAATATGATGTAGACCTAACTGTTGATTTACGTAAGGTAGTAACGAATCAAAAGAGACATCGTGTATTAAAGGTTTATTGTAAGACCGATGCCCATGACTACGCTTACGTCTCTGTGTATGGTTAAAAAGTCCCATCACATTTACATTGCTACACTGTGGACTGGAAAGATTTCCAACACTATCGACATTGTCATTACATCCATAGGGAAAGGCTGTCCCTAGCTTTCTAATCCAAAATTAATGAAAAATTAATGAAGTCACTTTCACTGAAAGTCCAGCTTTGAATGAATTACGGAATAATCACAGTCTCTATCTGTACACACTATACACCACGTCGGTGGATCCTAGATCCTCCTCGGCGTGAGATCCTCACGGTCAGTCTCGTAATGGGCAGTCAGCCAATCCCACCGTGGATGCCATTGAAATGGGGTTCGTTTAAGGAATAATAAATACAAACACCATGTTGTTGTTGTGGATAAATGTATTATCAGTAGTATCACAGCTCTGAAATATATATAAACAATGAGATCAAATGATACTGAACTCTTCCAGAATAATATAATTATATAGACAATATTCAAAATATATATACATCATACCTATATGTGATATAGAGCCAGAAATCCAAATATATATAAAGCTGAACACAGTTGTACTCTATTCAGTGATCTGTGTATGAATAATATAAATAGAACTTTACTATATTACACACTTATTCTCACAGATATAAAATATACTTATTACTCTGAATATTTACAAAGTCATAAAATAATCACACAAACTGAACTTTCATACTTTATATTAGAATATTATTATTTGGTAATTTAGCAGATAAACAATTACATAGAGAAGATGAAATTAGTAAAAGTAAACTTACATTCTGTCCTGCCTTGGTCATTGTCATAATTAAGTCATATAATATCAAAAAGCCAATATGTCTGCTAAGACCAAGATCTCAAACAAAAGTAATTAACTAGGTAAAAACCAAAAGAGAGGGAAACTAACCAACCAATGAAATCCAAGTTGGCCTGGACACTACACAAGATATATATAGAAAAGGGACAGGGGTTTAAATGACCACTGTGATATCATACATCTATAAATAACTAAATGAACACAGATTGATGTAAATAATTCCATGTGGATTTATTCAGTAAATGAAATGCTGTAAAGAAATAAATATGACAATTTAACTGAATTAATGTAATCCTGAAATGTAATAATTAATATATGAAATAAATCACTCTATCACATTATTATTTGAATTTTGACTTGTGGAGAAATAATGTCACTCCTATCTGCAAGCACCTGTGGTGATCATTTTATGAGAATATCTGTATCCAAATCAACGCCTGCCTTGGGTATTTTAACTTAAATCTTTACATGGACAGCTTACTATACATAAACAGTACATATAAGAAAACAGACGACAAGATATCCTTTTAGCGACAAAATTTGGTTTTGGAGGTCACAATCAACCAATGTCACAATGAAGTTGTTGGCCTCTATCTCGGAGTATCCCGGTCTATGCTCAGCCACCAGTATAGATCGCTACAAGTTTGGGTCATGTTTACCAAACTTTCTTTAAGAATTATCATGTTCTCTATGTTGACCTCTTTGATTTCATTAATTTTCTTCGTAGGAGTTACTACTTCCTCTGGGATAATCTTGTCTAGAATCAACTTTAGGTGTATCAAGTTTCTTCAAAATTTGACTGAATTTATCCTCTTACTACGGAAATCTTACTGTGATGTTTCTGTTAATCTTAACTTCTTTCTCAACTTTTCTTATTTCAGGTAGAAGCAAAACATGGTTTTTATGCGTATCGTACATGTAACGCATTTGAGATTTTAACCGTTCGAAACTCAAAGAAATACAAAATTTACGATAGAGTAATTCATTCTTAGATATTTTTTTTAAAATAATCATCTACACCCAGAGGGTGTTGAACACTCCCTGAAATTGATATGCATTAAAGAAGTTGTATGAACATTGCATTATTTGACACTTCATCAAACATCAAGAATATCCTCGACTTTTTCATGAAGAGGAATTCGTATAGATTTGGCTGTATCCCTTTTCTAATACTCTAAATAATTATTTCTTTAATTCCAGGGTCATTTACAAGACACTGTCCCTCATATCCCAACTCTCTTTATGTAACATCATGGTAGGTAATGTCATAAATCACCTCTTGATAAACTATTTAATTATTATTGGGATAGCTTTAAGGAGTAAACTTGGGCGCCATTTGTGCCTAAAGAAGTTTTGACTGATCTAACTTTCAAAAATTTCAATAAAGTTGGCAAATAAAACAACCTAGTAATATTATAAAAATATTTAAACTATTGACTAAAGCCCAGACCATACATACATACAAAAGACTAGACTTTATATTAACATAAATCGTTTTACAAATTTAATAATTCTTACTACACACGCACGAGCACAATACAAATATTATTAATATCTGTATACCAGAAGAATGATAAAACGTCTATATAGTTGAATGGGTAGGTCAGGAGTGCGGGTCGTCAGTAAAAGAAAACGAGAATTTAGTTAATGGAACCTAGTCATGTTACCGCCTGTCCAGTGTCTTTAAATAAAATACCACATTTACATGTACTCCTTCATAATCGCATATACTTAAATAGCACAAGGTACATATTAATTCTGTTATCCTGGGTATCGAAGTCACGCTACATGGGTATCAAACTGGAGAGGTCTCCGTGTGCTGACCGCAATACGCCTCCTATGCCCGCTCCTCGTGGGAAGAACAACCTCTCTGGCAATGTTTTCATTGTGGGGTCTGTTTCTGAGAAGATGCTGCAGTGTGGGGTTATATGAATAGATCCGCCTTAATATGCGCACAGGTCTCTGTATATTTCTTATTGCCGGTTCCCTATGACCAAGAAAGTTTGTTCCAAACACGTTTATACGGTACCCCAGCTCCTGCCCCTCTCCTAACACTTGGTTACAGGTCATCCGGGGGTTCCTTTAAAAAAGTTTTGAAAATTGAAATTTCTGTTTTGTAAGTTTTATTAGATTTAAGAGATTGATTTTTAAAATAACATTTTCTATTACCCATATCATAGTAAAAACGGAAAAAAACCATAAGCTTATTTATAGTTTCAAAGACATTACATCGATAAGGAAATTTACATTTTGGTCTGTATGGAAAATGAAGCCTTCATATAGTAATAAAAGAGAAAAGTCGACATGTAATCAAGGTAGTTTACTAAAATATGAACAAAAATTTTCCCCCCTTTTGTATAGAAATCAGAAATAATGTTTGAAATTCAAATTTACTTAATTATTTGATTTAAATGCGACCGAGTTATAAAGTTTTGAAGACAAGCCTTACCGCCTGCTTGTACGTATCATAAGATTCCGCTGGATGTCCATAATTTTGCCCTCCTCCGCCGTGGAACAAATGACCTTCGCAAGACTTACTTTTTTTAACTCTTTTAATTGTTCTGTAGAAAAAAAAACACTTAACTTAGTACTAACTGGTCACAGTAACAAAAACTAGAAAACTTGTTTCGTATATATCATAGAGAATAGGTGCCGAAGATTTGAACACATGAAATAATATAACAAACAAATATTATTACAAAACTCTTATATAAAATGTTGATAGTGTAGCCTGTTGCGTAATGCATACGAAATTAGATACCATGTCGATAAAAGGATAGAGAAAACAGTCCTAAATATACAATTCTATTAGGCAAAGCTTTTGCTTTTTATAAGTAAAAAAAGGAGTATATGTACCTGATGAAAATCCATAGATTGGGTGTGGATTCTCATACCAGTATCTGTCTCCGACCTTGAGTTGTTGGAACTGGTAAGCTAGGATACAGGCAAAGGTAGGACCGATTAACGCACCGCGGAGGCGTCTCTCAGACAATCCGCCAGAAAAAAGATCAATGTCGTCTGGGTGCCTAGAAAAATATGTTAAAGAGCTACTATCATAACATGTATCGGTATGAATTCAATTCTTTGCAAGTGTTAATAGTTTTAAAAAAAGAAGGGGAAACAAGTATTCTTTTTAAGGAATGATCGGCATGGGATATCAAAACTCAGCATCATGAAATGACTTGAAATAATAACTAGTAAGGCTTTAGACATTTAGATAACAGAAAAAAATAACTTTATTTATTTTAAGTGACTTTAAATTATTTGTCCTATGAGTATGTATTTTTTAAAACTTAATTCACGTTAATTTTCAATTGATTGGGATGTGTGAAGAATATCCCTATTTTAGGCTTCTATTAGCATAATAGTCGCCTGCGCGGCGCAGTGGTTGGAGCGTTTGTTGGAGTCGCGGAGTAAGGATATGATCCTTACGTCGCGGGTACGAATCCCACCGCAGGACGTGGGGACCGGTCCTCAAATGAGACCGTATAAACCGAGGTCCCTTGCAGCAGTAGATCCCTCACTGCTCAAAGGCCGTAAGTGTCAAGTACAAGTTTAAATTTGCAGCCATCCACCGACAAGTGGTGGTGTCTCAATATGAGTGAAAATTTCTCGAAGGGACGCTTAACAAATAAACAAATTTATATACCAAATTCTAATTAAGAACGAATTTAAAGAAACTGGTTGTTAGAGTAGTAGATATGTAGATTAGTATGAAAACATTATATGCCTTTGAAAATTAAAAAAAAAATAACGAGAAAGATGAAATATGGAGATAACGAACAGTAATCAAGAGGTGGGATCAGGTGCCATGGAGGCGTAAGCATCCCCAGTTCACACTCACCGTGTGCTTATTCTCATGATCGGGCAAACGGAAAAATCTGTAGACAATTCAGTTTATAAATAATGGCCTAACAATTAGAATGAAAAAAGTCATTCAGCATTCGACTTAATGATAGATTGTATATGCTAACATTGACCATAGAACTTGCCAAATGATGACTTTAAACGAGACTGTTGGTATCCTTATTTCTTCAACATGTTTGTCAATAGATTTCCTTGTTTAATAGTTGTTCGTATGTGGAGCATGCTCTTGCGTATCGAATAAACTGGGATATTAAACCCCATATGCAGGTTATGAGTTATTGCTGCATAATAAGAGAAGTTGACGATAGAAAAGTTGGTCATGACGTTTATCATAAAGTTTTGTTATTAGGTTATCATTAACGTCTTTTTCTAGTAAAATATATAAATATGAAGCATATATGTCAGACTCTGTGGTATCTTTTATTTCAAGCTCACTGGGATATATGAGTCGACAGAGGAATGGAATGAACAGTATTCAATCCCGAAAGTTCGATGGGAAGATACAACTTTGAAGCAGAGCAAACACGGACCTCAAAATTTAGAGGTGGGATCAGGTGCCGTGGAGGAGTGACCATCCCTTGCCGACCGGTCACACCCGCCGTGTGCTCCTTGTCATGATTGGGTAATAACGGAGAATCCGTAGACAGTTCAGTGTATAAATAATGGCCTAACAATAAGTATGAAAAACGTCAGTCAGCATTTGAATCAGTGATAGGTTATACTTGCTGACAAGGTCATTGTATCGACCGTAAAACTTGCGAAAAGATGACTTCAAAGGAGACTGTTGATATCCTTGTTTCATCAACGTCTTTGTCAATAGCTTGCCTCGTTTTAGAAATTGTTCAAATGTAGAGCGTACTCTTGCGTATCGAATCAACTGAGAGACATAAACCCCATATGCAGGTGATAGGGTATATTGCTACATAAGTAAGGGAAGTTGACGATTGAAAAGTTGAAGTCATCACGTTTATCATAAAGCTTTGTTGTTAGGTTACCATTAACGTCTTTTTCTAGTAAAATATCTAAATATGAAACAGATGTGTCAGAATCTGTGGTATCTTTTATTTCAAGCTCACTGGGATATATCGAGTCGACATATGAATGAATGTAACTATTGTTATTTGATAATACGTCGTCGATATGTCGAGTTGAAAGCCACAACAAGTGTTAAGTAATGTTGATTTTTTGTCAAATGGAATGAGAGATATGAAATCCGTTGGCTAGTATCTTTGTAAGAAAAATACCTGCGCAGATTATTAACTCAAACTTTTTACAGAGTTGTAAAGTAATCTTAGAAGGAACTAAAACCTTAGTAATCTTATACTTGCATTCTGCTCAGTTCTACAACTAGTCAATTTTGTAAAAAGACTTTTTTTAACTGGATCCTGTAACTTTGTTCAGGAAGTTCAGGACTAGGAAAATGATTAATCCACACGAATTATGAGCTGTGTACAAAATCAATGGACACATTCTAGAATTAGAGAAAACATCATAGTCGGTTGATGTAAGCAGTTGTGTTATGGTTATATGATGTGTCAAGGCCCTTTTTATCATTACCGTATAATTTAATTTTGGTTGTATTCTAGCCTCAGATTGGTCAATATCCAAAAGGGAACACAGGTTAAATCTGTATAACCTGGTATGGTATGGGGACACCCCTCCCCCTGACAACCAGCTTAATCATCTGTATCCATGCAATCCTCTCATTTCTAATCCTCGGGGTTCATGGAAAATTCCACATTTAATAACTGTTCCTATAACTTCAAACAGTAACTCGATCTTACCACATGTAAACAACAACATGGCTGATAGGCTTAAGTATCAGTTTTAGATCCCGTCACTTCCGTTGCTACGATTGTATTATTGAGCGGCATAAATTGAACTAATAAAAAGCAATGAAATTCTACTACCACGGTTATTTAATGATTTTAAAATTAAGTTATAAGTAATGACTCTTATTCTTGGCCTAGTTATTTGAGTATAACCTGGTTTGCGTCAGTTTACGCAGTTACGCTTCGCGGATTATAGAGCGTAAACTGACCCATACCAGGTTATACTCGAATAACTTGGCCAAGACTTAGTCATTCCTAAAATAATTCGAAATAATCTAAACTGAAATCGACTTCTTCATAAATGTTAATTATGCTGAAAGTCCAACATGCAACAAACAGACAAAATATAGGAGAAGTCGCGCTTTCTGAATTCGATGTAACATGAATTTTTATTGTTGATTTCCAAAACATAGATCAAGGGAAGTGTAGTTCCGAATGAAATTCTTGAGCATATAAAGAAAAATAACGTAAGTTGATTCACCATGTATACGTAACCGTGTGAATGTATACATCTCAAGGTAAATGCATCAAAATAATTCTCCTTAGTTCTTTAAAGATGTTATGAAAGATTTAAAAGAAACTTCTACTTCTAAAACATAGTAAATAAATTATCCCAGGGCGTTATGTGTGAGCAAGTAGTTACATGCACCTCATATAGAATCAACTGCGATCGGCCGGAGCCGATCACTATAACTTACAGTACCTGTACACAGCACGAAGTTTTGCTGCTGTTCTTTCATCATGATCTACAAGTCCTAATTTCCAAGTTCCAAAATGGCGAGCTCGAGGAAGTCCACACCATTCTCTATACACATTGTATCCAGGCAATCCATGATCCCTTCCTCTTTGAATATTTAAAGCAGCGAGGTCAAAGCTTGGTGTAGCTCCAACAAGTGAAGATGACTCTGCTTCGAATAATTTATTACGCAAGGCGTCTACGAGGAAACCATCTGGCTGTGCCGCCCCTGTTCTTGCTTTCCAGCTTGTCAGATACTCATGTCCATAGCCTCTTCCACTCAATGTCAAGCGAGGTCGCTCAAAATGTTTATTCAGTTGATATAAATCAACAAATGCTCCATTGTCTGATCCAACTACCTGCCTAACCAAAGAATGACCAAATCTGAACACAGCAGTTGCAAATGCATTGATGATGCGCGGGTCTGAAGAAGCGTTATACACACGGTCGTGGCCTGTCTTAGACTTCAGATTGTACATTTTCATCAACCTCTTATTCAACACAATAGGAAGGAATTCGTTGTAGGTAATGTGCTGTAACTCAGCAATTACCATTCGTTTGGCCTCTTGGAACAAGAGCTCGTCATCCGTAACACCGAAATTCTTCCTGAGTAAGGTCGCTATGAGATTATGACGGCGGAGGAAGGCGGTTTGTAAAACCGTGAGCAGAGGATTTTCTGTATGTCTGTGGTCACCTGAATAAAAAAATCAAAATAATTGCAGATTTTGAGTCACACTACTTGGATAATAACGACCTTTTCTTTTTATAGTTCTTTTGTTTCATGATACATCAAGCATACATGGAGTAGTCTTCTAGAAAGTATTATAAAACCAACAGCTAGAAAAATTGTTGAGAGACGTACATGTATATTTTGTTGATAACGATTCGTAGATTTTCCCTTTTAATATTACGTGTAATATTATTGTTTATCACATTGTCCCCGTGTTTACACATACGTGAGTATCAGTCAAAATATTGGATTTCAATAGTTCAGTTATTAGAAAGCTGGCAGATGATTAGTTTCAAATTCAAGTCGAGACTTGATATTTCATCACCGGTGACATTCGGCGCCTAAAGTACAAAACCAACTATTCCCTATAGGAAAATGCCTTACAACATTTCCTAACTTGTAGAATTTTATGACAAATTTCTACCTAGAGGGGGATATGTCACCAGATGATCAGTCAATATATTGTTTCTCAATAGCTCAGTGCTTAGAGCGATGCGCATGCTATGGTACGCAAGAGACAATCGAGTCCCGGTTGAGACTTGGTTTTTCGCCACCTATGAGAACATAAACAAGAGGTCAAAGGGCCCTAATGGCGACCTTAATAAAATACAACCCTATAAAAAGATCCATAATGTGGAAATTAATAAATATGTAATAAAACAAAATTAACCGATAGATGACGATATGATGCTAAAAAAAATCAAGAGAAATGGGACGATTAGAAATCAATAAAATATTTTTTCTGGTAATCATCGACAACTCAGAAAATAAATCTATTCATTTGCTTGTATGTACCAGCCTTAACTTCACTATTCCCAAACTTAACAACTCAGCATATAATAGAGTAGACACATAGTACGTACATCACTGGCCTCGCTTGGTCTTTTAAATAAAATTAATATACATACATATAGTTTTTTTCTTATTTTTATTTATCTATTTTTTTTTAAGATCTACCTGGCCATTAAAATCAATTAAAAGTAATTTTTGTAATATACATTAAACATTTATTCGATTGGTCTATAAATTATATAATTTACAGTGATTATTTACCTTAGGTAAATAACAAAGGCCGGGGGATTATTTCTCTCAAGTACAGATTTCCCTACTACCATAACTACATTTAAGCACTTGTCTGCCAAATACAACGGGGTGGGGGGGGGGGTGTCTTTAATTGTGCATTTTTACTATATATATTCAACAGAGCTCTGGAGCCATGAATTTCATAATATAAGGTTCAATGCTTATAACTATCATGCTATCATGCCAACAGTTTGACTGCTTGATGTCTAGCAGTAAGTAGATGATTTTAGAAGATTGCATTAATTTTGATAGTTTTCGTCCCACTTTTCAGGTCCCAGGGTGCAGAGACCATGAAATGCGTAATTTATGTTTCCCTTTGCCCGCCCACAGATGCTTTGTAGCAAAATTTGTTAAATTGCTTTATTTTCTAGAGATGAAACTAAAAAAATTTCAAACTATAATGATAGACGAACGACGACAGACAAAAGCAGATAGCAATAGGTCAACTGAGTGACGCAAATCCCCTAAAAACTTTAACTAGAACTTCTTTTGTAATATACCCTTAAAAAGAATCTCAAAAGAGGGACATGTAAATACCTGAGTCGAAACAGTGCTGTATTTCCCGTGATTGCCTGTCCTCCTTATGTATGTTACAGCTAAATTCCTCACCTTCTGGCAGCACTCCACTGATCTTTGGGAAAGCCTCACTCACCTTCAGAAACCCTGTGAAGCATGCACCATAATAATTTGTGTAAAACAAGCTGATTGTATTAAATTATTCGTTAGTTAAACATTTTTTTTTTGTTTTTACCCAATTCAAAAACCCGTAACGAATCTTCTTTCGCTCCGTTGAAGCCATATATCATTGTACCATCTATAAAAGCCGTTCTTTGGTTTTGTTGTTGACGAATTCCTGCAATTAGTAAAATTATTACTTGAGCATAAGCCACATGCAAACATGACTTGAAATTTGTTTAGTACAAAAACACTAACTTTCGTTTTGGAATAAATTCAAAGTTTATGGTCATCAAGAGGTCATGATGGCACATAGATATATCCTTTTATACCTACCTGTACATGAAGATTATGATAGTTCTAGAGTGATATGTGAAAAGGTCTGGTACAGTTGATCTTTTGTGCCAAATTGAAACAAATCAAATATGTTTCTTTAAGGTCAAGGTCATGTGTGGTCTTATCAATCATATCCCTACGTCAATCTTAAACTTTAATTGTAAGTTAAAAAGTTTTATTCTAGCTACGCTAGATAGACTACTTTGCTATTTAGAAATTATTTATTTTTACCCAAGGTATTTCTTATGTATTGTGAGATGACGTCTTTTCTTTTGGCAGTATACCTCCATAAGCCTGGATGAAAATATTTTTAAAAGATCGTTTTAGACGAACTGACGTATCCCCGTCTATAATTTACTGTCAGTCGAAGTCTCAAACGGAAGCTGTGCGCTTTGCACCTCAATTGAATCTACGATAAAGAAAAGAGTGCAGAAATTTTTTTGGTCAAAATACACAAAATCCATATCAAAGAAAAGAAAGTAATTTTAAGATCTTTCTACACAAGATAATGGTATAGCATTTTGAAAAATTAAATGTTTTGAAAATCCTTGCATTGTTTGCTTCTGATAATGTCAGCTTATTTCAAACCGATTTAAATTTGAACAATGCCCAACTGTTAGTCTAGATCTATGAATCTTTTATTTTGTTTATGATGTTTACTTTTCAATTTCATTTTTAATTTAAATTTCTTTTTTTTTTAAGTTGGTAACAAACCCAATAATAATCTTAGGCAGTTAGAAAGTTTATAAAATCATAAACGTTATTAATTTGACCCCGTCTTTCAGTGCTGTATCAGTATTTTGATTTCTTGTAAAAACAGTTATTTGTGGAATGAAGTCCAATGTCATATTTGAGCCATTGGCATTGTGCTCATGACATACCGGTCTTATAATACAAATAAGCCTTACTAGGCAATGTTAATCAATCTTTTGATAATACAAATAAGCCTTACTAGGCAATGTTAATCAATAAAATAAACCTAAGATCCGGGATCAAGTCTAGAATCAGAAGAACTATCGGATAGATGCATTCCTTTTTAATAGAGGAAGACTCATCCCTCTCTTAAGTTACACCTGGTCATCACTAAAACCTGATTTTTACAATATGTCATTGAAATTCTTAAGACAACATATATAAATTATGTTTATGTGCAATCACAGATGAGATCAGGGTTATAAAGTTAGTCTTGTATACGACTACAACATCCCAATGTCCTTTGACTTTGACCTCTTAGGTATGACCTCGAGCTAAAGCCAATTGCAAGGCCTACCAACAAACAGGCAATAGTTTGAATTAACATCATTTGTATTTACACATTGAATAATGATTGTAAACAGATTTTGGTTTCAAAAAATAACGAACCTGATGAACAATCAAGCGGGGGTGCAATGTCCGATCGCACGAAATGAATACACTTTCTTGTAGGGTCGGTAAAGTACGGATCTCTTACTGACACGGGAATGTTGAAGCACTCAAATCTGTCAGAAATTAAAAAAATCAAAAATATACTTTGTGCATCCTCTCAGCTCTGTTTTCTTAATAATCTTTATAAACTGTCTCTTACCTTTCTGGGTTTAGGCAGCAGTCTTCGATCAAATATCCATTTTCATCTGAAGAAAAGAAAGATTAAGAAGTTAGAATGAGTGGGGACTCAAATCAATAACATTCCCTGTTTTCAGAGACAATTAATATTTTGCCTATAATGTTTAACAATGCATTTTTGAACACCTCTTATAAAGAGAGCTATAAAATTACCTTCCATTAAAGGTGTGCTTGTGAAATCATGATCAAGAAACTGTCCAAAAGAATAGACAAACGGCGTAATGACGGGATCAACATTAATTGGAGGCTCCTCATGGATGACGTTGCTGACGTCACGAGCACTTGGTAAGCTACCTCCCAGTACACTTCTGGTTCTTGGTGCTTCAATACCTGTTTGAAGATTGCTAAAGTACACTATGAGTATATCATGAAAAACGTGAAATAATTCTTCATTGTTTTCTCACAAGCACTATTTCTATTAGGCTTTAAAAGTGACACAACCATTATTAAATGATGGCCTACCATCTTCATACTTTGACGGTACAATTCGACGAAAGGGTGTGAAAGCTTTTCCATATAAGGGATTTCTGAAGTTGTTACAGGCACCGCAGGCTGAGCGGTACTTTTTGTTTGGGTCACAACGTGGCAGCTGATAGCAGTATGGAGAAAACTCTTCCCGCATTATCGCTTGATATGAGGGATCATTCAAAATTTCTCGGACATCTTTGGAGCTCTGTGCGTTCATCCTGTGGTGTATTAGTATATAGTACTTAATACTCATCAATGAAAGTTAACCTTATGTACATTATATTAATCTCTCATGCATGACCATAAAATTCCTACTTACATTTCTGCTGATTTTTTATTCACTGAGCCCAACACATGGGCGCGGTCACTGAGCATATTCACCATTTGGCCATCATTTTGGCGGGAAAAACTATAATGAAATTTAATTGGAGTATCTCTCTCCATAATATACTGGCCACTCCCAGTATTCTGTGTTTCTATAAATAATAAAGGAACCGAAGCTATTGGACAGAATAAACACGATGATTACCTACCTAAAGAGAAGCTAAACAGGTAAGTATTATATACATTTTACCAAAAAATAGAGAGTAACAACATAGATTCAAGATATTTAAAGAAAATATGAGCTCTAGAATTGCTCATAAGTATTTTTAAAAGTATATCTAATTAATAAAAAGAGAATATCATTTTCTTTCCAACCAATCATTTGATATTTATATTTCACTATACAGCTTCTGTAATATAAAATGCATTTAAATTATTCTTTAATTCTGATGCAAAACACCCCATTTTAAAATATGGCAAAATTGAACCTATAGGAACTGTTTCAGGTGTGCCAAGGTCCGACATTGTTTCTAACATTATGTTTGATATCACGCCTGGCATTGTCTGCAGTCTCACTCCTCTCATTATTCCTGGTCTCGTTTCCCTCTTCGGCATCCCTTCCATTCCAAAGTCCATCCCAACTCTATAGAGCACATCAGTAGTCAAGACTTGTAAGTCACCACGCCTTGTTCCCACATTACTCTGGCTATCTGAAGAGCTAATTGCTAGGAGAAGGCAGATGATTATAAAAGGTGCACTCATCCTGCGATAAAAATACATATTTTTACACTTTTTGTTAAGTAACATATTTATAATCGATATTTGTTTCTTGTATAATGCAGATAGTTAAAGCCGCCCTTGACTTTTCTTTCGACCTCGAGGCCATTAATATTTCCTATCTTACCGCATAACCGAAGCCATAACTGCGTCTAATTCACATATCTTGCTATTAAGAGGTAACATCTGGGATCAACAGAAGAATATAATGATTCTATGATAGAATTTTACACATTTAGTAAAGTAGCATATCCCCCCATTTTTCTAGTTTAAAACAGACAACTTATAAAAAAGAAAAGAAAAAGCAAAGAATAAAAGACATCTTTTTTGTATAAACTGCAAATCAACACCAATCTAGAAGCCGGAAGTTTGATCCCGGTAGGGCCAAGAAAAGAAAAAAAATATGGGCCAAGAAAAGAAAAAAAATATGGACGATGCTAATTGTTAGGCCATTATTTACACATCGAATTTTCTACGGATTTTTATTTCCCGATCATGACAAGGAGCACACGGCAAGTGTGACCGATCGACAAGGAATGCTTACGCCTCCATGGCACTTGATCTGCTCCCGATTTCTACTGTTCCAATGGACTTTGCGCTTGATTACTGATCGTTTTCTCCATATTTCAGTATAAAAATTAGTTTAAGGTCACTGCACACCCTCTATCCTATGAACAGTCTATTAGTGAAACATGAGCTCAATTAAGTCAAGGGGAAAGAAAATATGCTTTGGACAAAGATTTTCCAAAGGAAGGTTTTACGATCCTGAACTTATTCTTGTGCAAAAAGATTTTTTGACCTTGATCTATCATCTATAAAATTGCCTCAAGGTCACTGCACACCTTCTATCCACGAGCACTCTATTATGAGTGAAGTATGAACCCAACTGCGCAAAGGAGAGAGAAAATATGCTCCAAAATAGATTTTACATAGAGGTTTTTTAACCGTGACCTTTGCATGGAAAATTGATTCAAAGTCCTTGCACATCCTCCACCCATGCGTACTCTGTGGGTGAAGTTTGAACTAGGTAGGGTCAAGGGGAGAGAAAATATATACCAGAAAAGGATTTTTAATCAAAGAGATTTTCAGAGAAGTTGAGGTTGATCCCAAGGTCATACCTACATACAACTAAATTCTTCCTGACAAAAATACGAATATATGTTTTCAAATACTCTCTAGAATTCTAATTCCATGGTACGTTTGTGCATGTATGACAATATTTTATTATCAATTCTAAAAAAATATTAAAAGTAGTTGGAAACTTTGTATGAATGTATTTTCCCCATTCAAGTAAGCAAAAGTACATGTAATTTGTACAAATCAAGAAAGTTGTGTCTTTGAAGTTTTTTATTAAAATGTTTGAATAATTTGACAAAATGAATAAAATAATTTAAGGATTGAATTTAATAGCTACCAAAGTTATTGCTTTCAATCGTTTTTGAGGTATTTGATCATTTCCAGTTTCAGGGGGAAGGGATGACCTCCAATGGCCATGACCTGTATACTTATTTAATGTGTCATGACACAGGGTGGAAAACAAGATTATATATATATATATTGTATTTGTAATTGGTTTTGGGTAAAGCTTTCAACTGTTTTTGAGATATTTGGCCATTGCCAGTTTAAAGGGGGGATAGTACATTATGTTTTCGGCTTGAATTCTTCTAAGTAAATTACAGCATTTGCCACTGTCTTCATTTTATTAAACAGGGAGGAATGTAGTGTAATATATTCACTGTGACCTTACACTCTGACCATGTGACCATTCACCCGTGCCGGCACATTTCACACACCAGCCGAGTCCTAGCAATCAAACTATGCAACACATTACCTGTGTTTGTGTGTCGTATGTATCCATATTTATTCACCTGCAAGACGTAACTAGGCTCAAATTTTTAGTGAGGCAATGATTCTGGGGGCCACCCGAGTCCAAAGCGGATCGCGGGTAGTGCCTTGATGGGGTTCCTGGAGGAGGGTCTCAAAACCTGGGTTTCAGTACATTAAAGACTTAATCTTTGAAATTTTTCATATGTTTTGAATGATTTTTACATGTTTTCTAAGCACCTGGTGAGATGATCGATTTTCAGAATTTGAAAGTAAAGTTGAAAGTATTATAATGAATTTAGTACAAAGACGCAAACAATTTCAGATCAAAGTAAAGCCATTTTCAATTTTCAGAAAACTGTAAAAATTTTAGTGAGGCATTTGGCTCACTTGCCTCAATGGTAGTTACGGCTTGACCTGTGTCATTGGTCGTCATTCTACTAAGGTATACAGCCTATCTGTAAAATCTTCTATTTCACTCCAGAAATTTGATATCTCCACCCCCTTCTTGGGCATCATGGAATTTCCCCTTGTAGTAAGTACAGTAGAGTCAAAATGTATATAAGATATCCCCGAGGGCGGGTTATTGTTTTTGTTCCAACAACCAAAATTTCTTTTTATATATTAGGAGCATCTTAGATAATAAATATACAATTATTTGGTATATTTAAAGCTTTACTTATAGGTGGATGTTATATTGTAGGTATTTGATGTGTTTATATAAAAAACATGACAGTATTTTTTTTTAAAGTGAACAAAAAACCCAATTTTTAAAAGGGGGGTTCTTGACCAAATTATAGCAAGCCTAGTTGACGTTTTAAATCATTTACTAACTTGGTGGACATAAATTTCATGTTAATATGGTAATGTAAGCATAATTTATATTTCAAATCATGCAAAACTTTTAACTACCTTAGTCTAATGCTGTTTGTTTAAAATTCTATTTTACAGCTACCTGGTTACATTAATTTTCAGAAGAGGACCCCAGCAAAATGAAAAATTCCTAAAATGTAAAAAAAAAAATAAAAAAAAAAAAAAAAAAAAAAAAATAAATGTCAGAAATGAAAATTTGAATTAGAAAAAATATTCTGGAAATGCGGAGGATAATTTCGGAAATGAAAGGCAGCTTAATGATTGATTACTGGATATTTATTAAGTGTCACAGAACCTATATTTAACTTGCATAAATAAATGATTACATGGGGTTTAGTAAACTGAGAAAAATATATAAATGGAGAATGTGATTAAGGTATTCGTAATATACAATAATGATTTAATCAATTACCAAAAATGTAAATAATTGTATTTCTATCTTGCACTCCGCTACACCACTTGAAGAGAAATGAGAAAAAAAAACTGCGGATAGAATCAAGCATTCGATTTGATTAGTTGTATAAAAAAAATTCTAATCAAAATATTATCTTATATAGAGCTTTGAAGCAGTTTTGGACTTAATGGAACCACTTTTTAAGAGGAAGAAAATCATGTCACTTTTGAAATTTGTTTTATAAGCCCAAAACTTGCGCATGATATTTTGGAAAAGCAGGGACATTTATAAAACCTGGAAGTCAGGTTTGATATATCCTAGTTGTTCAAATCAACCTAGAAAATAGTTATCTAAACATTCATAATGATTTTAGAAACTTTAAAGTGTCCATATGAAGGGGAGAGGGGGATCCTCAAATATTTGTAAATATTTGTGGTTCTGAAAGTCGAGAATTTATCACAGATTTATCAAAAAGAAAAATTTTTTCATGCAATTATGGAGACTTCTTTAAAATTATTTAAAAATAAAATTTAAAACACGCAGGAGTACACATTAGTATCATATTATTATTTTAGAAAAATACTTCGTAGAATTTAAACCTGAATAAGCAAGTTATTCAAAGCTTCATTCTGAGACTTTTTAAGTTAAATTATAACTTTAAAAGTTATCGTTCTTGGCTGAGGAGCGATCCTTCACTCTTTTTAGTTTGTATAATATACAAACACAAAATTGAAAATAATTCCGAATCGCGATACCTTATAGCTCTGCAAATTTCTTACCTGTATGTATCCAGATTTACAGAGGTTACTTAAGATTTCGAATATAAACAAAAATAATCCCCGCCTTCTGCATAAATTGCACATCAATCTTTGCCTCCAAAACTGTGATCAACTTGAGAACATGTCAAAGAAGCCACACGAACAGTAAATATTGATGTTGTAATCAAAATGTTGACATTAAAAAGTTTATTTCATAGTAACTGGGATTGAAATTGTTTTTGATGATTAGAAGTATTACATACAGTGTCACCGCATTATACAAACATTTCACCTTCAGGGTGATTTTTTTAAGGAGGCTGGGAGGTCAACAAATTAACCACCAGATTTAACTTATTTTTTTAGATATGATATCTTAAGCTGTCAACTATCATTTGGCAAAGAAAAAATTCAAAAATTTTAGTTTTAAAATTTGATCATTTTCTATATCTTCATATGGAGCTCTTCTTCTAAAGGAGATCAATATAGTCTAAAAATGGCCACAACCCCCCAGTCTCTTTAAAATTTTCTTTTTCTTCGGGCACTCTAAAACAGTTTTCAATATTTGTTATAAACCATACAAATTTCTGAACTTTTTTCAAATTGAGGGGGTGGGGGGGGATCCCTAAAAGAATAAAAAAAAAAATTTAAAGAAATCTTATGAGCTTGAAAAATATTTTCAAACCATTTGTATATTCATGTAAAATTTAATTTTTAAAAAAGGGCCTTTGAACCCCCCCCCCCAAGTTCTGTAGGCCTTGGTGCTCATATTAGCAAAAATGTATCCCTCAAAACAGAGTAAATGGATACATAATTAGAAATTAATCGATGTATTAAAATGAATATCCCCATTCCCCAGTAAAGCATGAATACATACCCTGCAGTTTCAAAAAAGTTTTCCACAATATAGATAATTAAATTTAAGTAATTCATTGTATCAGAATATTATCTAATTACCCCTTGCAGGCCCGTAGAACGCAGATGGCGGACACCCACCCCCCCCATTTATTCTGAGTATAGTTTTTTTACTATAGTAAATTTGCTTTTAGATGCTGTCCCCCACTTTTTGTTGCTTTAAGGTAGAGCAAATTCCAGGATTCTGACATTTAATTAGGTTTTTTTTTTTAATTGTTTTACATTTATTAATTTATTTATTTATGTCCGTTTCAGATATTTTTAATATACCCAACAATCAAATTGAATTTGAATTACCATACCTATACTGGATTCTTAAACTACATAAAAATCCTTACAAACAAAGATACATTGCGGGTTCCAGTAAATGTTCTACCAAGCCTCTTTCCTTACTCCTCACTAAAATATTAACTGCAGTAAAGGAGAAAATTCAAGAGTACTGCACAACTATGTATTTGAGATGTGGTGTGAATCAGATGTGGATATTTAAACACTCCAAGGAACAATTTGAAAATTTGAAATCATGAAATTTATTTTACCCAAATCAATAACATCAAAACGTACCACTTTTCAATACTTTATACAACCATTCCCCACGATAAATATTAATTAAAGGCCAGGTTTCTTGACATCATAGACATTTGCTTTTTCAATAAAAATGAAACTCGTTAAATTACTTACTTTTCATTAGTCATTTGCAAAATCATTTGGCTAAAACATTCTGATTGTACACACAAGTACTCCAAATTGATACTAAGAGAATGCTTGAATCTCTGATTGTTAATATCTATGTAGTTTTTGGAGATCAGGTTTTCCAACAATATGTCGAAATTCCCATAGGAACCAATTGCACCCTGTTAGTAGCAGACCTATTTTGTATTCATATAAAGCAGAATTTATTCAAAAACTTTTACATGAGAAGAAAACACTTGCGTTGGTCTACAACTCGACATTAAGATATAATATATCGACGACGTTTTATCTATTACCAATGTTCATTTTCATTCCTACATTGATTCGATATATCCATTTGAACTCAGATTAAAAGATACCACAGTGTCTGACAGATCTGTTTTAAATTTGGATATTTTACTAGAAAAAGACGTTAATGGTAACCTAACAACAAAACTTTCTGATAAACGTGATGACTTCAACTTTTCTATCGTCAACATCCCTTATTTATGTAGCAATAATCATTAACATCTACATATGGAGTTTATGTCTCCCAGTTGATTTGATACTTAAGAGCATGCTCCACGAAGGAACAACTTCTAAAACGAGGCAAGCTTTTTGCAAATAAGTTGATTAAACAAGGAAATCAACAGTCTCGTTTGAAGTCAACATATCGTAAGTACTATGGTCGATGCAATAACCTTATTAGCAAATACAGTCTATCATTAGGTCAGATACTGACTGACGTTTTTCATACTAATTTTTTAGGCCATTATGTCTTCGGATTTTTCAATTTACCCGATCACGACAATGAGCACAGGTCGGGTAGGACAAGTCGACAGGGGGATGCTTACTCCTCCATAGCACCCGATTCCTCCTGTGATGTTTATGGAGGTCCGTGATTGCTCTACTCCCAATTTGTGTTGTTTAAATGGAATGAGTATGGCCAGACATGAAAAAAAAGACCATGACACTTTGTCAGAATGGATTAAATATATCAGATGTATGTTAAAATCGCGCATTAAAAGATTGAGGGGCAATATGAGAACCATCTTTCCTTCTGTATTCAATAATCAAGAAGTGAAAAAAGAATTAGATTATATGATCAGTGCGTACTGGTCCCTGCTGACAAAGCAGGTAACAACATTGTCTTTGTAAATTTTAGAGGAACTTGGATTTAATTCTACAAGTGGTAATCCAACTTATACTCATAGTTCTCTTTCTATGGAAGACATTCTTCAAAATCATATGTCAGTTTTGCATATTTTTAATATTCCAAACAACCAAAATGAATTTGAATTACCATATCTATATTGGATTCCGAAACTTCACAAAAATCCTTACAAACGAAGATACATAGCGGGTTCCAGTAAATGCTCAACCAAGCCTCTTTCTTTACTCCTCACTAAGATATTAACAGTAGTGAAAGGGAAACTTCAAGAGTACTGTGCAACAATATATTCGAGAAGGGATGTAAATCAGATGTGGATACTTAAAAATTCCAAGGAACTTTTGGAGAATTTGAAATCACAAGATTTTACCAAAATCAACAGTTTAAAAACTTACGACTTTTCAACTTTAAACACAACCATTCCCCACGATAAATTAAAACCCAGGCTTTTTTATACCATTGACAGCTGCTTTTTCAATACAAATGGAACTCGTAAATTTACTTACCCTGTCATTAGTCATTTGCAAAGTTAATTTGTTAAAAAAAATTCTGATTGTACACACAAGTACTCTGAAGTTGACATTAAAAAGATGCTTGAGTTTCTGATTGACAATATCTATGTGGTTTTTGGAGACCAGGTCTTCCAACAATCTATT